TATATATATATATATATATAATTAATATATATTTTAATAAAAAAAAAGATATATAATTATTATATTAATAAATAGGGAAGAAAAGGGTTTATTATGTATACACTAGAGCATTTGTTGCAGCAAGACAAAAACCGTGCAAAGGGTTTAGTGTTTAGGGTTTAGGGTTTAGAGGTAGGGTTTAGGGTTTAGGTTTTAGGGTTTATCCCTTTGCATGCATTTGCGGTGTATGTTGACCTTTTAGGGTTTTCTTTCTTTATATAATAAACCCTAATAAAAGGTGTACATACACCCCATTAGTTGTATTAGAAGTATATTCTTACACAATATAAATAATAATTAATTATTATTTTATTTTTATTTTATATATCCTTATTTATTCTTGTTTATTTTTAGTTATTTTTATTTTATTAGTGTGTATTTCCCTAAGAAGTATATTTTTGCTTTCTTATATACTGCGGTGTACAGACACCTAGCTAGTACAATATAGGGGCTATAAGGGGGTGTCGTGGGTCCTTATAACTGCATTTATCTTCTTATTTATGTATTAAAAATAATAAAATAAATATTAATCGACTTACTATAGATAAAAGGGGAAGAAGGAAGAAAGAAAGAGGAAAATAAGAGAGTGTTGCATGCAGTTGGGGCTTTTTTGTTGTTGCATGCCTGCATGCATGCACGCCGCTGACGTGAGGGAGAAGGGGGAAAAGAGAGGAAAAAAGGAGTAAATGAGAATTTAAATTCGTTAAAAGGAATAAATAAATCTATTTTTAATTATATTTATTAGAAAAAACGAGAAAAGAGTGACAGGCACCCCTTATTTCCTTTGTTTGTTGTGTGGCTCCTTCGGGTGTATGTGCAGCTCGGTTGCTGCTACTTTTCTTCTTTTTCCCTCTCTTTTTCTTGTTTTATTTAAATAAATAGAGAGAATTAAATTAAATCTTTATGCAGCGCATGCAAGAGGGGTGAAAAAGGGAGCAAAGATAGCGTATAATAGTAATATAATCTTCTCCTCCTTTTTCTTCCCTAGTATTATAAGTGGCAGCAGCAGACAACGAAGCAAGACCACCCCGCTGTTGCTGCTGCTTCTACTGCTGCGTATCTATCCCTTGCATGCATGTAACCATCCTTTGGGTCTCCCCTTTCGTTCTTCCTGCTGCTACTGCTGCTGCTGCTGCTGTCTTATTATAATAAGAAGCAATGGCGGACGCAATACTAAGAAGGGAGATTAAGCGCCTAGTAGAGGAGCAGAAGGTGCTTAATCAGCGACTGCAGCGTAAGCCTCCTGCAGCAGCAGGAGCATCAGGAGGAGCAGCAGCAGCAAATAAACAGCAAGGAGATAATGCTACAGATGCAGCAGCAGCAGGAGGACCAGGGCAACAGAAACGTACAGTAAGACAATCATAACACCAGCAGCAACAGCAGCAACAGCAGCAACAGCAGCAACAGCAGCAGCACATCTCCTCCTTTTTCTTGCTGCTGCTGCTGCTTATGCATTATTTTATTTATTTATTTATTTATTTATTGTATGCAGGGCCCTGGAGGTATTCAATATGACTTTGCTGGTCCAGAGTTCCAAATCGTTAAACGGGTAAACCCTAAACCCTAAACCCTAAACCCTAAACCCTAAACCCTAATTTTTTCTCTGCATATAATAATGTTAAGAAGTGAATAATATATATAAATGTATGGATGTATAAACCCTCATTCTTAATAAATATATCTCTATATACACATAAATATTTATATCCATTTATATATATATATA